TGACTAAATCAAACCAATTTAGAACTAACTTATTAATTCAAACTGACCAAATATGGCATTCCATGCACATATATTGTAATTGGCTGTTGACGAATAAATATTAATTATAGTATATAAATGTTACTCCGTTAAAGATGTTTGTCATTGAGGAAATTTGAGGTATTAGATGCCGCTAATAAATTCTCATGTAGAAAAATACATTTCATTAGTAACATGTAATGTTAATGTTTCGTGATGTTGTTTATTCTGAAAAGCAGGTATACAATGTATTTTGTTAAAATGAACTTCAGCAATAGGTATATTAGTGTTTTACAGTTTAAATTACATATTTATGCCTAATTGTGTACACTGTGTCATGTCAAGTGAAGCTAATTAAAAGAAATATTGCAGATGTTCGCCATTCAAGTTGATCAACACTATTTCTATATATGGTTCAAAGTGGTGTAATACATGTAATATCAAAGAAGATAAAAACAACAATGATATTTGGCATCCTGACTGATAAGTGGAAATGCACCAACTAGTTTGAATCCAAACAGTGCGTAATGACTGTAACAGTATATGTTACCCACTTATCTGTTAAAAAGTAAAGATTACAAGTGTAAGGTCATTAAAATATGTATGGAAGAAAAAAACTTTTAGGAGACTATTAAACTAGATGCCGGTATCGGTTATTTTAAAACCGGTAGGCTACACAGGCTCCCTTAGTAAAGTGACAAGACTTGTTTGGCTTTGGGCCATTAGAGATATAATCAATGGTGAGTATGGACTCTACCGATTATGTATTCACAGAAGACCTATGATTTAAACTAAAAACTAATCTAAACAACAGAAATGTTTCCGCTATACAGCCTGTCCGTGGTACATAATGTGCACTGCTGACGCAATGTAATTGGAAATCCCCGCTTCAAAGATTAATAATTAACCCTTTTCTCTATAATCAAATTATGTGTGTAAGACATACAAAAATGTATCTACACATGCACATTTTTGCTAATTCAAGAGATAAACTGATCGTGTTTTTAATGCAATATTCTTTCATAATAATGTTTGGGTCGTTAAGTGTTATTAATAGTGTTGGAATTCATTTTACTTTTATATTATTTGAACTTTTAATGTATTTCTTAAATTTCTTAGGGTGTCGAATTTAGAATCACCATGTCGAAATACCGGACCCTCAACGGACAAAGCTTATTCTATAATTATTACATGGAAAACCTTAGAGGCTACATAAGAAGTAGTTTTTGAAAAGGGCGCAAAAATGTCTCATCCTGTAAAGTGCGGTGTCAAAAAAAGGATATACATAAAAATGTTAATTTGTAACGAAAATTTTTTGTAAGGTGTCGAAATATGGGTACTTTACTCTATTATGAAAAGTGACTTTACAACTAAACAATTGAGGTTTAGTGAGGAAGAAAGAGATTTAGGTATATTATATGATAAGGATTTGAAATTTCGACATCACATAAGTAATTGTATCAATAAAGCAAATAAAATAACTGGATTGCTCAGAAATACCTTCTTACGTGTTAATATCAAGCAATTTCGGAAACTTTATAAAACACTTAAAGACCACACCTTGAATATGGAAATATTATTTGGAGTCCAAGATTTAAAAAAGATATTGAAGCAATCGAAAGAGTTCAAAAAAGAGCAACAAAAATGGTTCATTGTATCACAAATTTAATGATGTAGAAAGATTAGAAATTCTGGAAATTCCTACTTTGGCTTACAGAAGATTTAGAGGTGATAGAGGTGACAAGCATGGAAATTATTAAATGGGAAGGAAGATATAGATTACAATGTATTTTTTGAAAAAGCACAACTTGATATTCATCACATCAGAGGAAATTCCATGAAGTTGAAAAAAAAATCATGTAAAAAGGAAATAAGAAAACATTTTTTCTCATTAAGAGTAATACCAGAATGGAATAAATTACCAGATACTGTAGTATGTTGACCAACGCTGAATTCGCTAAAATACAGACTCGATAAGGTTATGAAAAACAAATTATATAGTAATATATACTGTTATACCGGATAATAATCATTGGGTGTCAGACCTCGGGGGGGTTATAAGAGATTTCTGATCTCACGACCCTACGCTGGATAAAGTAAAAGTAAAGTAAAAAATATATCGGGGAACGCCTCCATTCTACCTTTTGATAAAACTGCTTTATTTCATGCTTTCCAGTGTTTTATTGTAATATATCAGATGATTATATTCTGATAAACCACTAGTGAAATTTATAAAATATAATTTTCACTGTAGCCGGACTATATCTGAATGCGGATGAAAAGAAAATCATAACTAAATGAAATAACAAGCAGAAATAATTGCCGTCATGCGTAAAATTTGCTTCTTTAGGAAAAGAAAGTCGATTTCATCAAACATTATGTAAAAATGTAACAAAATTAGAGAAAATTAACAGAACTATATTTCAAAATTGATGATGTGATGTCATGATATGATGACGTCACATAGGAGAATGCGTGACGTTACGCGGCAAAATCAGTAAAAATATACTTAAAAAGCATGAAATAAAAAGAAAATTTATTTGTTTTACATATAAGATTGAAATATATTTCATTCGTGAACACCAGCTAATAATATATTTTCACTCGTGGCTACGCCACTCGTGAAAATATTGCATCTGGTGTTCACTCAGTGAAATTATATTTCAATCTTACATGCAAAACAAACAAATATCCTCTATGTACGATGAGGCCCAGGTAGCGGTGAGGAACTCTGAATTGATAAGTGAAGGAAGACTACGCCACTTACAGCTGAAAAAGTACACCTTTCTCGAGGGACAGACGCACCAGCTGTGGGATAAGTACAGGAATGGGGAGTTATCATCAACGGGACTTCTAAGAGAATTCGGCAACTTATACAAGCCCCAAGAGTCGTAAGATGTATACAAAAAAAGACAATGAAATATGTGCATGAAAAAAACAATGCAAGTGTGAAAGTGAAAGTGAATATATATGACAAAAGTCAAAATATGGAAAAAGACATACTATATGATATTTTATCATTGCATATAAAATATTTTTTTATACATTAAATGTTATTGCTATTGATCGTCTTCGTGTTGTTGTTTTTTCTGCATGTAATTTAATCAGAATTATGCATATATAGCCTTATTATTTGATGAAACTCCAAATATTTGCATACAAAAAGCGTCAAAATATGTCCAATTCAGTAATTTTATAATATATTATTTTAACAGTCTGTAATGATTTATGAACTATATGAAAAACAAGTAGTGATAAAATATAAGGGAAGAGTTAGGGACGAGTTGACCAGAGGACGAGTTGGCCAAAAAGGTGACGAGTTGACCAGAGGACGAGTTGACTCTGAATCATTTTTATCATTATAAAAAAAACCACTTATTTTTTAATTTATAGTATTATTGTTTTATTTATACGCATTTAACTGAAATAAACTGAAATAAACAAAATAAGCAATACCCAGCAAACAAAAGACGTACCAACGTTGTACTAATGTTAGACCCTGACGTTGGGTAAACGTTGGCAGAAGGTTGGGTTGGCAGAAGGTTGGATTTGAAAGTTTTTTAGACGTCAGAAACAGACGTCTATACAACGTCATAAAATGACCTTTATCCAACCTTATCTGACCATAAATCCAACCTTTTCTGACCATTATTTGGACATAATCCAACCTTTGGTGACCATTATCTGACCATAATCCAACCTTATCTGACCATGATTTAACCTCATTCCAAACTTTTTTTGACAGTATGTACTAAAATTACGCTTCATGTACTAATTAATCATGTTCTAGATAGACAAAATTCTTCATAAACATTAAAACTGACATTTTGTATGGTTAACATCCATGCATGTTTTTCTTATATCACCAAGGCTTATACATGTTATAATTCCCGACTGAACCGGTCACGCTGAGGTTGGGATTTTCCAATCATCTATCCAACTCACTGACTGTTAATTTTTCTTTGTACTTTTTATCTGAATGTTAAATAGAACAGCATTGTGAATATTTTGATATTACTATGAAAAGCAATGTTCATAAATCTTAATTAGCATTCTTCTTTTGTCCACCTCCACTATGACGATCTGGGGCATACTTTAAGCATATCATAATCTGAACCTTCACCTTCTCCAACCTGAGATCTCATCACACTTTCTGAAATTTGAAAATTATAAATCAAATAATCAGTTACAATTGCAAAAATAAATCACTTTACATATTACAATTAAATGAAATTCTGACAAAACTCTCCAACTACATTGTACTTTAACAAAAGGAGGCTTATTATTTTTTTACTTCAGTTTAAACCATGCTGTTACATGTACCTATATATCCATTGATTTTGATAAAAATGGCTTTGTGAATGTAATATTTTGAAATATACCTGTCACAAAATCTTGGGTGTTTTTTCTTCTTTTTTACCTCTTAATAATTTCATCTTCCTCCTCTGAACTTTTGACAGTTGTTGAATTATCATAATTTTCATAATCTCTGATATTTACTGAAAGACGAAACAATTTTATATTTATCAAAGCACGTTAACGAAAACAACCTGATAAATGTTCAATTAATTATTTTCATTAAGTATGAAATTAAGTTTGTTTCCTGAAAATTAAGTCAGAATTTTTGCAATTGAACATTGACCTTGCTTACTATATCATTTTCAGAACGTTTATAGTATTCGATCGATTCGTTGAAATGATTTTGTTTTAATTAAATGATAATTTTGTGTCTACTGTATATAACAATTATATCACAAAAAATTATGTTCATTTAAGTGAAATATTTTGCGTTACTCAGGCTTCGACATTAGCGGTGGTCCATTGGTCTGAGACCACCTGATTTTGGCAAAGACCACCTAATTTTACAGGCAACTGGTCCGTTGAATTTTCCAAATGGTGCGGGGCTCATCTGGGAGAATGGTTATTTGGTCGAAAAACGTGTTCTATAATTGTTGTTTAAAACCTTACAAGTGTTTGTGTTCAGTCATAGTTAATGTTGGTTTTCCTTGGTTTCATACAAATTGTAGTTAAAAATATTTCTTTTTTTTCTAGAAATCAAGATGGCACATGAAATACATTTAAAGAACAACAAATACAGGCAGTGGGTTAAGGCAGGCCTAGGCTTGGGTTATCTTAAAGAGGGACTTGCACCATTTTGTGATGACATAGGAAGACAGCAGTACAACTATATCATAAACCAAATACAACAAACAAAGACTCCTCAACCAAATGTACCGTGTGGAGTCTGTCAGATAACAACTCTCCAGCCAGACCATGTTCGAGTCTCAAAAGGGATATGTCCCCTCAAGCAAGATAAATGTAACTGTTGCTTTCCAAATAATAAGACACCATGTCCAAACAATGTATGTGGTGCCATCTATGACAGCATTATACAGAATCATGCGTCAATACCACCGGCACCTTATTGGAAAAACAGTGATGTCCAACAGTGGTCAACAGACCCGTGGAGTATTAGTAAATGTTTTATTAATGCTCCTGGGTACAAGGACAAACCATCAGCAGTCGATACCGACTGCACAGGGTTGCTTCATGTTATCATAAATAACACATATTTTCATAGTCATATTGGATGCAATATTACAGGACCAAACAATCTTTTTTCAAAGGTAAATACATTTGTACCAGGAATGTCCGTAAAGTTCATATACTTCTTCATCTTTTTGAAAAAGGCGACACATAGGGGTTACTTTTGTCAGTGGTGTCAGCGTCGGCCTTGTGGCTTGTCTGGAGCATAACTCAGTCACTTTAAGTCGGATTTACTCCAAACTTGGTAAGCATGCTTCTTTCAATGACTCAAAGTGCAGTGCACAAGAATCTCTACCCTCAGCTCTGCATCTTAATTTTTGAGTAATTTCCCTTTGTTTATTTTCATACTTTATTTTTGTCAGGGCCATTTATCTTAAACAATAAAAGCTATGGACTTGAAACTTCATAGGATGATAAATCTCATTAAGAAGTGCAGTACACAAGAACCGGTACTCTGCACTTCTTATTTTTTGAGTTATTGCCCTTTGTTAATTTTGATACTTTATTTTTGTCCGGGCCATTCCTCCTAAACTAATTATAAGCTATGGACTTCATAGGATGATAGGATGATAGATCTCATTAAGAAAAAGTGCAGTAGTCACAAAAACCGATACTCTGCACTTCTAATTTTTGAGTTATTGCCCTTTATATATTTTCATATTTCATTCCTGTTTGGGCCATTTCTCCTAAACTATAAAAGATATGGACATGAAACTTCAAAGGATGATAGATCTTATTGAGAAGAAGTGTAGTGCACAAAAACCAGTACTCTGCCCTTTGTTAATTACAATATTTTATTTTTAATTATTATACTTCATTTTAGTCCGGCCCAATTCTCCTACACAATAAAACCTATTCAAGCTACATCAATCCTGATGTCTAACAGTGTTACTGTAAAATCGAGAATTGTAAATCGAGAATTGTAGATGTTTTCCGTTAAAAATAGTCAAGAATGTGCAGATTTCAACACTTTTCTTTTATTTTTAATTCATGGAATAAATTATTCAATGTTATACAACATGCAATTCTCTGGAAATTAATAAAAATTTTAAATAATACTGAATTCAACGCATTTAAAATAAAAATACAATAAATAGTCTGAAATAATAATGTTAATACAAATCTTAAATATACGATATTACCTTAAAATAATTATAGACTTAAATCTATGCAAATAATAATGTTATTTTGTATTTCCGCAAATAATTCGTTTTTAAATTTAATTCACGGCAAATATTGTATTTAAAAAAGATTGACTTTACTATTAAAATTCATACATAATTAATAACTTGCTTACCGATTATGATCTACTTTCCATTGGAAAACATCAATAAACAAAACACATCAACAATTTAAGCACTTCCGCCCAAGGCAAAACAACATATCAAAGTAACGGTTAATGACATCACCGTAAAACAATTTAATGACGTCTTTTTACGGAAACAAAATAAGACGTTACGTTTGGCGGAAATAGTGAACCTACCCTTTAAATTTGAAAGATTTAAAACCCAATTTTTTAATTTGAAAAAACTATGGGAAAAAAACCCAAACTTTTTTGAAAATTATTAAAATTATAAAAAATAAATTTAACAATTAATTAAAATACCCTATTTTTAAGAAAAAAAGGGCCAAAGGACAGCTATACTTTCCAAGCAAAAAATCCGCTGGCAGAGTTTTTTTTAATGTAAAACCCCCAGCAAAAAAAATCCCAATCTCCCCTACACATGTATCAAAAATAACTAAACAGTTTTTTAAACATTTTTTTTTTTAAACCCGGTTTATTCCCATACAACATTTTAAAAAATTGCAGGGAGCACTTTGACAACATCAAGGGCCATAAAATTACTTCAGGGTTTACCCACTATTAATTTTCTTCGGGTTTCAACACCACCACTTCTTTCTTATTATATTTTTTAACATGCTTTTCGGGGGTTTATAGAAATATTATCAGTGATATAAAACTGGTAATTTCACTGTTTGAAACAGTGAAATTACCACTTTGATAATTTCACTGTTTTGAATTTAAGCCCCTTACGTTGTTTCAGTGAAATACCAGCGTGCACAGTACTGGGTACCAACTTAATGACGTGACGTCGTAAATGACGTCACGTTGTATTATTATTTGGCGCGCTTTTCATTCAGTATTAGGTTTTATGTCTTTTCAAAACGTTTATTTGCATATAATAAAAAGAAAATTTGTTTAGTTTAGTGTAAGATCGAAATATATTTCACCTTGTGAACACCAAAAGTTCATATTTCACTCGTGGCTGCGCCACTCGTGAAATATACCTTTTGGTGCTCACTCGGTGAAATATATTCCGATCTTACACTGAACTAAACAAATATCCTCTATTTAATGAATTTCATATACTACAATTTATTTAAAAACAAAGATGTTACTGGTTCCCATACAACATGTGAGATGTCTGTCTTTTTCAAAGATTGTTGTAACGCAATCTGCGATATTTTTGCCATGCTACTTTTGGTCGTCTGGAGCGTTTATTATACGATATACTGTCATCACTGCTATTTAATCTTATTTGACATTTAAACACATATTGCCTTTAACAATTTATGGTTGATTTTGTTTTTTAAAGTAACGATTAAAATCTCAGTAGGTGCCATATTTGCGTTGCTATGAAGTTAAATAATATTATGGTGCTCCGTCTTGAATTTGGCGTCAATTTTGCGGCACAAAACTTACGCACCTTCATTGCCTGTAATCGTCGTTAACAAGCTGTTTATTTGTGTATTACATCATAATTTTCAGTAAATGTCATGCAATAGTATCCTTTGATGTCACAAAATTAAAACGAGAGGTTGCGTTAAAATTAAAACTTTAGCAACTTATTATTCGAGTAGCTATCATCATGAAATCAAAGTGCTCAGTGATTTGTTGATCATGTTGCCTCGGTGATTGGCGCTTTGCAAAAATTACTTTTATCATGTTTTTAATTCATAAGTATGTAGCAGAATAAATACTTGAACAAAATATTCAATGACTGTTTATAATATTTTTATAGTCTTGTCTATGAACTTTCCGGACAACCCTCGTATACAGTATGTTTATTTTTAATTTTGTAGATTATTATACTGTATGATTTAGTCTGTTAATTATAAGTATAAAAGTATAAGAGATTATTATTACCTAAGTTAGTGCAGTTATTGGTTAAGATTTCTTTAATTTTTATAGGGATTAACCTATTACCGCACTAAGGTGAAATTATGCTATATATATCTATGAGGCTAATGCAGTTTTTTTTGCCAGAGAACAGTTTGCAACAAATGAATAATGATTCAAAATTCGTTATGCATAAAATTGTATTCACAAATTGTGATTGAAGTATTTTAAAGAAACTCTTTTAACGGTTTTAAATCTCAACTTAAGAATTGTGTTTAGTCTCATTGCTGAACACTGTATTTATGTGAATGTTGTATTATTTTATTTTCTGTATATTATAGGTACGGCAGTATCGAAATGAGATTTTTCACTCAAGCAATATGGAGTTAGAGGAGAGTAAGGCTAATTGTTATATTGATGACATGATAGCTGTTCTACAAGATAATAAGGGGAAGGCTTGTACATCGACAAGAATGGCACAACAAGCTGTAAGGAAACTCCAAGAATGTAAGGGTATATAATTTAAACTTATCATATCCAGGTATGAAAATCTTATAAATTTCTGGTTTATAAAAAATGTAAAGATAAGCTCACCTCTAAATTCAGGATAAATTTTTAGCGGGAAAATTAGAAACAGAAAAATTTGTTAAAGTTTGATAAATAAGAACATTTTACAACACAGCTGAAAAGCGGTTTTGAAAATCCATAGATAAGAAGTTAAAGCCAAAGGGGAAACATTAAAATAAATATGCTAAAAAAAGTCCAAAAATTTATTATACAGGCTTCGATATAGAAGAGTTAAAATAATACCTGTAAATCAACAGAGCTTGTATTTTTGTCTATATAAAAGTAACAAAACTGATTCTTTTTCACAGTTGAAGAAAGAAAGATTTCATAATTACCACTGAAGGCTTGAAGATATCCTTGAGAGAAATCAAAGACGAAAATGTCAAAAGTTCTAAAAATCAACAGAAAAATTCTGCAACTAAAGATGAATATGATGATCTGAAGAAGAAGCTATTGCAACTTGAAAGCTAAGATGTCTGATGAACAGAAGGGAAAACTGGAAAATGAAAAAGAAATTGCAGAAAATTAAAGAAAACAATTACTGACCTGAAGAAGAAGCTATTAGAACTCGAAACCAAAAATGTCCAAAGTAAACGACGAAAATCTTGTGAATGCAGAATTGAAAAAGAAACTTGGAGTCTTGAAGACTCTTGTTTCAGAACAGAAAGAGGTAAAAACAAATTACCTTCTGTTTGTGAACTAAATGATGTATGTTACACCTGTATTTGCATCTTTGCATTTAAGAAGATATAATAAAGATAGTATGTTAATTGTAAAGAAGAAACTTTATAATTTAAGTTCTTGTGGCAAAAGTATTAAATCTTTAGTATCTACTATCTAGCCAATAAACTGGAAAGGCAACCAGATTCATCCCATGTATAATGGTATGAAGTGTATATAGCTAATAATATCTGCTGCAAAAAATATTGTTTGAATTTTTATTTAACATAACATCATTCTAAAAGGTTTAATGTAAGCTGTGCAGACTTATGCTGTGAAAGGTCACACTTAAAGTTAAATGTTAGATATGCTTGCTCATGGTGAAGGTCACACTTAAAGGTTAAATGTTAAGATATGCTTGCTCGTGGTGAAGGTCACACTTAAATGTTAAATGTAAGCTATGCTGGCTCATGGTGAAGATCACACTTAAAGAGTAAACGTTCTTGCTTATGGTGAAGTCAAGCTTAAAAGTTAAATAATAGCTGGGTTTCCTTATGGTGAAAGTCACACTTACAAGGTAAATCAGATAGAAATGCTTGCTCATGGTGAAGATCACTCTTAAAAGTTAAATGTAAGCTGTACTTTGCTCATGTTGAAGGTCACACTTAAAGGTTAAATGTAAGCTCTAATGCTCATGTTGAAGATCACTCTTAAAAGTTAAATGTAAAGCTGTACTTGCTCATTATTGAAGGTCACACTTAAAGGTTAAATGTAAGCTGTGCTTACTCATGTTGAAGATCACACTTAAGGTTAAATGTAAGCTTTATGGCTCATGTTGAAGGTCACACTTAAAGTAAATGTAATCTCCTATTGGCTCATGTTTTGAAGGTCACACTTTGAAGGTTAAATGTAAGCTCTATGGCTCATTTTGCAAGGTCACACTTAAAGGTTAAATGTAAGCTGTGCTTACTCATGTTGAAGATTCACACTTAAAGGTTAAATGTAAGCTCTATTGGCTCATGGTGAAGATCACACTTAAAGGTTAAATGTAAGCTCCTATTGGCTCATGTTATGAAGATCACACTTAAAGGTTAAGTGGTAAGCTTTGCTTACTCATGGTGAAGATCACACTTAAAGGTTAAATGTAAGCTCTATTGGCGCTCATGTTGAAGATCACACTTAAAAGTTAAGTGTAAGCTGTGCCTACTCGTGTTGAAGATCACACTTAAAAGTTAAGTTGTAAGCTGTGGCTTACTAATGTTGAAGGTCACACTTAAAGGTTAAATGTAAGCTCTATTGGCTCATGTTGAAGATCACACTTAAAGTTAAATGTAAGCTCTATTGGCTCATGTTGAAGGTCACACTTAAAGTTAAATGTAAGCTGTGCTTTCTCATGTTGAAGATCACACTTAAAGCGTTAAATTTATCCTGCTACTGTCTATATCATCAGCTAGATTAAAGCCTTGCCGGATATACTTATCTATCTCCAGTCATTACGTCACATGATGACGTCACATGTTTAGCAGCGAAACAAAAACTGCATATAGATGCTTTTTTATCGGGGAAAAAAGAAGAATGAAAACCATTTAATTATTCTAAAAAGTGATTAAAAAGGCAGGATAAATCAAATACATGGTTGATGTCGGGATGGCAGAAGTTTATTCGGTTCGCTGCGAAAGTGAATCTTGGCTCGCTAAAGTTCTCCAAAATACACTTTCTCGCTCACCGGATAAGCCTTCTGCACTCCGACATCAATCATGTATTTTCTATGTAAGCTCTAAAGGCTCATGTTGAAGATCACACTTAAAGATTAAATACTAGAATATATCATGTCTGCTATGTTAATTCTTACCCATTGAAGGATTTTCTTCAATCTTTGATCAGTTTATACAATTCAGCACTGAGAAGCGTTGACCTTTTGTTATAGCATAAGGTAATAGACTATGAACTTTGATTATCATGTTGATATTTCGGCTTCAAATCTGTACCACTTAGGAACACAATCAAAATTTTGTTTAAACAAAATTATTCTTTCAGGATTTAAAATCTCACCTGATGGCCTACTTAGCATAAGTGATTAAATGGGGCAATTATGGTGGTTTATTATGCTAAAGTACATAGTTTCATGTACAAAATCAAGTACATACTCTTATGAATTTATATTTACATCTTAATTATATATTGTTGATTATTTTTGTACTATAATTATTTTTGAGTCAAGAAGATGATTTGTTTTTGTAGGAGATGGCAAAAATTAAGACAGAAACTTCCTCAGGTCAAAGTCAGGCAGAGTATGATCAAGCCAAGTTAGGTGAGTTAATATTTGTTTTGATGCGTGTACATACAAGTGTTATGATAGTGCCATCAAATATAAAACCAAAAAAAAAAGCAAGGCAATGTGCTGAGCCAATGCCACTGCCTTACCAGGTTAAGGTCACCCTTGGTCTATAAAGTGTATTTTTTACCCTTTTAAGATCTTGTCTTGAGATAATCTTGTTATGTTTAAATTATTTGTAAGTTTTGCTGATTTTATTGATTGCTCAATATATTTCAGGTTTGTCGTACTCAATTGATAGAACATTATCGCAGTGATTTACTAAAAGTGTCAGCAATACCTTTACAACCAGATGAGGAAAATTATAACTTCAGTGACGTTTATATAAGACCCACTTATAACAAGCAAGATAGAAAAGAACAGAGGGGAGTCTGAGGAAAAAAGAAATACACAGTCCATGTCAGAGATTTTCACAAAGAATGGGGAACCACAGAAATTTATTTACGTTGTTGGAGATGCAGGGTCTGGTAAGAGTAGTTTCTGTAAATATTTGATCAACTGTTGGTGTATGGCACACAGTGATGGACACAATGACGATGATTGAGTTTGATTGTATGGCACACAGTGATGGACACAATGACGATGATGAGTTTGATTGTATGACACACAGTGAATGGACACAATGACGATGATGAGTTTGATTGTATGGCACACAGTGATGGACACAATGACGATGATGAGTTTGATTGTATGGCACACAAGTGATGGACACAATGACGATGATGAGTTTGATGAAGTCAAGAAATGAAGAAATTTGATTTCATGTTTTATATTTCTCTTAGACATAACATTAAGATCCGAAGTAGTGTCACAGAAATGCTTGAAATGCGGTATGATAAGATAAAAAATATAAGTAAAATTCTGGAAAATGATTCTGAAAAGATAATTATTTTGCTTGATGGTTTAGATGAATGGTCTTTTGATAGTGAGACTAGGAATGAGTTCCAGGCAGGCCTTCCCGAACGTGACTTTACAAAGAAATACACCATTGTTACTACATCACGGCCATGGAAAATTCACAGTTTGAGAGTAAGTAATAGAGAGATTCATCAATTATTGAAATTAAAAGGGTTTGATAAAACACATGAAAAAGAAATGATTAAGAAAACAATAACAGCATTGAACGAATCATTAGATCCAAGTGGTGTGTGAACAAAAGCTTAGGATACCGTCTGTGGTTGACCTGAAACAGGTACCAATTATGCTGCAACAATTAAATATGTCTATGGTGTGATGGTAAACTAGATAAAACATCAAGGTGTGCTATTTTATACTGGTATGTTAGAACTTTATTTCACTTGGAATATCAATAAAACTTTATGCAATAATACAGAATGTATGGAAAGTTCTCAGAATGTTGAACTCCCCTCAGTACCTTTAACAGATGTCGAGATATGTAGATTAAATAGTAATCTTATATATGGTGTGTCACGCTTGGCTTATCAGACATTGTTCAATTATCCAAAGGATAAGTCCTTAACATTTGACAAATCTGTTTTTTGATTGATTTGAAAATATCACATGAAGTGCGTGAAAAATTGTCTGAAACTGGGGATTTTGACAGAAGAAAAAATGTCCTTCTCTATCTTTATCCAAGCCTAAAAGCTCATTGTTTCTCTTTCATTCACAAAATCAATGCAAGAATTTCTGGGCTGCAGTGAACATTGGTATCAATTTTAAGATAAGAATAAGTTTGTCAGATAGTACACAAAAACAGAAAAATTTGAAATTTGCAAAGCCAGTGCCATTTCAAGTTTGTTAATGAGGCTTTTCAAAATGTTCCCACGTTAAATTACACATTAGGAGCAGTCAAAATTTTGTCATTTTGCATGTGGTCTTGAATCCTAGATTAGCAACACCATGTTTCAAAATACATGATTCTTGTCAAAAATCTTGTTTTCAAGAAATACAGGTTGAAACAATAAATTAGGTAACATGAAGGAACTTTGGTTTATTACTATACAAAAGCTTTGCGTTTTGACTCAATGGAAGAATTAAATGCCCAACATTGTAGTATAGGAAAGTAATATTTATTAATATAGGAGATTTGGTCATTGGGATATTGGGCATCAGTATTTGATATTTGTTTATACAGGTTATGATCAGAAAACAAAATGCTCCTTCGATTCTTTTCCTGTCTATTTTGTAGATAACATTCAACCACAAAAAATTTGAATTTAACAAAAAATTTACCAATGTTCAACATCTTTGAAAAAATTCTGCAATAATGTATGGAGAAAGGTTATCACCGAGTAATAAACAGATATTATAGAGGTAGACAATTTTGTTTCTGAAGACAATTAAAGTAAAACCACTTTAAACATTAAAATCTCTGATGCTGGAAGGTACCCCAATTCACACTGACAAGCCGGTATTACCCTGTGTTATAAAAATGCTTGTAATTTATCTACCTAGTCATGATCAATCTCTGTAGCAATAAGTATGAGTTTATAACAAAAGTCATGATGATACAGCT